AGAGCTTGAGCCAGTCAGAGAAAAAATCAGTGCAAAAACTTTGACTTTGCATCAGATACCCAAAATCAGAAAAAAAATCAGGATTTGGCAACCAAACATGTATTTGTTTTTAGCAAAATACTAGTGTTAAGTGAAAATGTTATGTTGCCAACAAAAGAAAATTGAGGTTTTCAGTTAAAAAAAAACCTTGCAAGTAGAGCAGAAATTTTACCTGGACATTTTTTTTAGTTTTAAATCCCATTTTGAAAACAAAAATGGGCAGAAAATCTCCGACCGCCCCTAATTGGAAATTGAGCTTTAAACAAAGTTGGGAAACATTATTTTTATATTTAATAACACAGCCATTTCAAACCTGTCTGTTCTATTGCAACCGTGTTTATTTCTGTTTCAAAGGAATAGTTATGAAAAGGTAAATAAATGAGGATAGCAGCAAAGCCTGCAGATTGTGTTTTGTACACACTAGCACCTGTAAACACAGAGTCAGTGTTGCACCAGCCACCTGAAGCCTGTCTATCTCAACCCTGCCCAAACAGAATCAAAATCTCCTGCTCTAGCCCCATATCCTCTGTCCCACACTGCTGTCAGCTGAACACCAATGCTGTAAACAGTTGCACAGAACATACACATAGTGAATCATAGCCCCTCCCTAACCAAGATCATAGTCCTAGTAGACAAGGCAGAGAAAGTGGGGGAGAGGAAACAGAGGCACAGAAAGGGGAAGGGACTTGCTCAAGGTCACCCAGAAGGTCAGTGGCAGAGACAAGAACATAACCCAGGTCTCCTCATTGCCACTGACCTGCACAGCGCAGGCATGAAGGTAGAGAAGGAAACAATAAACAATAGCAGTAACAGAGGGATGCTCCTAGCCCATCATTACACAGAGACGCAAGTGCAGCAGGTATCAGGGGCCATGAATCAATCTGCAATCAGGTAGCAGGCCGTCTCTGCACAGAACTCAGTGTGGAATCATCACAGACGAGCTGGCGCTCGGGGCACTGGATATGTCCTTATTGTGGTTCCCTGGAAAGAGGGGATCAGGCTGTGCCGCTGGTTTAGAAATTTAGTTACCTGTCCAAGTTGTTTGCCTGCTGTTTGTCCTAAGAAGAAATGACTGGAAGGGACCTGGGTTACCCAGTCCAATCCCCTGTTCTCACTGGCAATCCAATCATATAATCCCCACCCTAAACTGACGCAGCTCCATGTTAACACCAGTTAGGTTGTTTGTCAATGGCTCCTATTGGGAGGCTGCTCTATACCGTCCCTCCTCTGATGGGGACAAACTTTCTTCTCATTTCCAAGCTAAATTTACTCCTGGACAATTTATCCCCATTCCTTCTTGTGCCGACATTGTCCTTTCGCATCAATAGCTCTTCTTCCTCTCTGGTGTTTACCCCCTTGATGTATTTATAGGGAGTGATCATATCCCCCCTCAGCTGGCATTTTGCAAAGTTAATTAGCCAAACTGTTTTAGGCTACATCGACTCAGGAAGCTAGGACAAGTGATTCACCAGCTTGCATACATGTACTCATGTGCTAGCTTCATGAGCATAAATAGCAGTGTACCTGCACTAGGCATGCTGAATTCAAACCCACCTGAACCCTGGAGCTATGTATTCAGCATACTTTCCGCTTCTGCTATGGCTATACTACTTTTTAGACTTCTGCTAGCCATCCTCGAGGTATTGCAAGTAGTGTATGTGATCTGGGAATCACTCCCCTGGCTCATAGTGTAGATGTAGCCTTACTCTTCTTTCCTAAACTAGCTCTCCATTGTTGCAATAGGATGACCATTATTCCTAAGATTGTTGGGTTTGGGTTGTAACTTGTTTCATATTTACACTGCATTTTTTCAAGCCTCATCTTGGACCAGATCCTCAGATGGAGGAAACAGACGCCATCCATTAACTGTAAGGGAACTGTGGCAATTTACAGTGGTGTGACAATGCTCCTCACTAGTGCTGTGATTGACAGAGGTGAGGAGATGGAAGGACTCTAACCTGACCACTGCCCTTACCCTTCCTTCCACAGACAGTTCATGATGTATTGAGAAAGAAAATGTCCAACCGCACCACTGTGACCGATTTCCTTCTCCTGGGATTCTCTGAGGTTCGGGAACTGCAGATTTTACACTCTGTGGTGTTTCTAGGGATTTACCTGGCAGCCCTGGTGGGAAATTTCCTTGTTATCATCCTTGTAGTGGTCGACCACCACCTTCACACCCCCATGTACTTCTTCCTGATGAATTTGTCCATACTAGACCTTGGATCCATCTCCGTCACTGTCCCCAAGTGCATGGCCAACTCCCTATTGAACACCAAGTCGATTTCTTATTCTGGGTGCATTGCCCAAGTCTTTCTTTTCATTTTCTTCGCTGTGGTTGACTTTGCTTTTCTCACCATCATGGCGTACGACCGATACGTCAACATTTGCCAACCACTCCACTATAAGACTATAATGAACAGGGGAGCTTGTGTCCAAATGGCAGCCAGTGCCTGGATCAGTGGAATTATTTACTTATTCCCATAATACAAGAACTAGGGGTCATACAATGAAATTGATAGGCAGCAGGTTTAAAACAAATAAAAGGAAGTTCTTCTTCACGCAGCGCGCAGTCAACTTGTGGAACTCCTTGCCTGAGAAGGTTGTGAAGGCTAGGACTATGAGAGAGTTTAAGAGAGAACTGGATAAATTCATGGTGGTTAAGTCCATTAGTGGCTATTAGCCGGGACGGGTAAGGAATGGTGTCCCTAGCCTCTGTCTGTCAGAGGATGGAGATGGATGGCAGGGGAGAGATCACTTGATCATTGCCTCTTAGGTTCACTCCCTCTGGGGCACCTGGCATTGACCACTGTCGGTAGACAGGATACTGGGCTAGATGGACCTTTGGTCTGACCCGGTACAGCCTTTCTTATGTTCTTATGTTCTTATGTTGTTCCCATTTCTACTATGCAAATTGGGAAAATATTTGCATTAACTTTCTGTGGTGGTAACAAGGTGAATCAGTTCTTCTGTGAAATTCCCCAGCTGCTCAAGATAACCTGCAATGACTCGTACCTCAGTGAAATTGTTATTACTTCTTTTCTCTTCTTCTTAGGTTTAAGCGGTTTTACTTCTATAATTGTGTCATATGTTCAGATATTCAAAGCAGTGCTGAGAATCCCCTCTGAGTGGGGCCGGCATAAAGCCTTCTCCACCTGCCTCCCTCACCTCATTGTGGTCTCATTGTTAGTTTGCACTGCCACCTTTGCCTACCTGAAACCCACCTCCAGCTCAACATCAGGACTTGATTTAACGGTGGTTGTTCTTTATTCCGTGGTGCCTCCAGTGATGAATCCAGCCATCTACAGCATGAGGAACAAGAAAATCAAAGGTGCACTAAGAAAACTAACTGCGGGGAAGTTATTCAAAAAGAATAAAATTTCCAGATTTCTCCCATGACCATGTTTTCATTCTGTGCTTCTTTACAGATATAATCAACTGATGACATTATTGTCTCCATGGGAATGTGATGTGCAGGCTTTTATGCAAAAATGTTGTGTTCATAGTCGTAATAATCCAGACTAAATTCACTGAAGTCAGTGGAGTTACTCTACTGTGAATTAGATAAGAATCTATCTATCTATCTATCTATCTAAATTATGAGGACATTTACTTCAATTCTGCATTTCCTTGTTAGAAGCGTGAGTTTAGCTGAATTTGACCTTCTGGACTGGCACGAGCTGTCACTGGGAAACCTTATTAACTCTGTGTTAATGAAGTTTTTTGCCATTTTATTTCCTAGTTTTTCAACAGAAAGAAAACTTGTTGGTCGGAGTTAGTGGTCATTGTGGCGGCTGTAGGTCGCCATGGATATGGATGATGAGTGAAGGAAAAGGCTTTTTTAAGAATCATCACATTTTTCTGGAAAGGAGCTGCATTCTGTGCACTGCTTGGCCATTCTGGGTTCCCTTCACATCAACCCCTCACCCCCAAATATCTCAGTAAGTGCAGCACAAAGCTGGACACAGCCATCTGCAGCAATACAGGTTCAGTGAGGTGTGAAATGGCCTGTTCATCTCAATGAGCTGTTCTCAGCGGAGTGAGAAACACCTGCAGGAGATGGTACAACCTGAAACAATCACTCAGAGATGTGTGAACTGCTCCACTCATATCAGTCACCCAGGTGCCAGCAGGCTGTTCTGTGTGTTGTGGGTTCATGTCCCCCTTTGCCTCTTCTCAGCTTCACACCCCCAGGGGCGGCGCTTCCCCATACCCTGGCACTCATTGGGAGGGGTGATTAGGGACACAGGCTCAGTCCCCCCTCCCACCACAAGCCAAAGAAAAAACCCCAAGATCACAAAAGCTGGAAAGGGAGGGGCATCGGACAGGCATAGATGCATCGAGAGCCCCCTGATATTGGCACACACAAGAGAGGGGAATGTGGGGCTGTCAGGCGCCCTGCCTCTTGTTCTAGTTCTGGATCCATCAGAGAAGGAGATAGACACACAGGCACAGAGAGCGTTGATGGAAACGCAGTGGGTGCTGTGCTTGCTTTAGTGTTCCCATTGCAAAACTGCACCTAACAGGAAAGTGAGGCTCTGCATTTGGTAGGGGGAGAGCATAGAGGCCTCTGAACATTGAAAGAGACAGAACATCACAACCCTCTGTTCTCCCAGTCCCCTGTTACTAACATTCAGGTCTCCTCTTCCCAGTGTCCCACCCAGCCTCATCTCCTGACCCCCAACTCATCTCCTACCCACCCACCCTATTCGGCCCCTTCCCCATACCCCCCCTCCCCTCGCTGCCCCCAAAACCTCACTCCCGCAATTCCCACCAGCTCTTCCACCCTCATCATCCTCCCCTCCCAGCGGGTAAGTGTATTTCAAAAATTGTTTCATCAACTTCTAAATATCCTGCAGTGCCCAGGTGCCATTTCCCCACAGTTTGAAACCCTCAGACAGAGCCAGGTGCCTCCTTATTCTTAGGTTCAGATTTTGGCTCAGAGTTAGATCTGAACTCAAAGTGCCCAGATGGCATGTGGGTTTCTCAGCCAGTACTGGACATTCCCCCTTCAAGGACTCACAGCCTGTGAGCCAGAGGTAGCTTTCAACCAGCTCATCCTCTCTCCATGCACGTGCTCAGCGTAATCCATTTGGAGCGACTCCAAGCACTTCGAAGGCTCACGGGCCTAACTGAGAGCTAAACCCTTTGGCTAATAACACCGTCACTTTATTTCCTCCAAAGAGCTGGTGAGTGGCCCTTGAGCACTGGAAACGCTCCCTGCTGTGAGGATCTGAGCCCTGGTTTGATCTCTGTCTGTGCACAATAAATCAGCACCAAAACACACCAACGTTAAGAAAAGTTAGAAGTAACTCCATTGGACTCAGTGGGGCAGATTTCCCCCTCACTCACCCCAGGGTAAGTCCATGGTTGTCAAGGCTGCTTCCCCACTTTGAACTTTAGGGTACAAATGTGGGGGCCTGCATGAAAACTTCTAAGCTTAACTACCAGCTTAGATTTGGTCCGCTGCCACCACTTCCAAAATGCTAATTCCCTTCCCTGGGTAGCCTTGAGAGACTCTTCACCAATTCCCTGGTGAATACAGATCCAAACCCCTTGGATCTTAAAACAAGGAGAAATTAACCATCCCCCCTCCTTCCTCCCACCAACTCCTGGTGGATCAAGATCCAACCCCCTTGGATCTTAAAAACAAGGAAAAATCAATCAGGTTCTTAAAAAGAAGGCTTTTAATTAAATAAAAAGGTAAAAATTATTTTTTGTAAAATCAGGATGGAAACCAACTAATTAAACTTAAAGAGCTCAGAGGAATCCCCTCTAGCCTTAGGTTCAAAGTTACAGCAAACAGAGATAAACACTTTAGCAAAAAGGTACATTTACAAGTTGAGAAAACAAAGATAAAAACTAACACGCCTTTCCTGGCTGTTTACTTACAAGTTAGAAAAATGAGAGACTTGTTTAGAAAGATTTGGAGAACCTGGATTGATGTCTGGTCCCTCTCAGTCTCAAGAGCGAACAACCCCCAAAACAAAGAGCACAAACAAAAGCCTTCCCCCACCAAGGTTTGAAAGTATCTTGTCCCCTTATTGGTCCTTTGGGTCAGGTGTCAGCCAGGTTACCTGAGCTTCTTAACCCTTTGCAGGTAAAAGGATTTTGGAGTCTTTTGCCAGGAGGGATTTTATAGTACTGTACACAGGAGGGCTGTTACCTTTCCCTTTATAGTTATGACAGTGGTGTTGCAATGGAGTATGTCTGGTCTAAGGAAGAGGAGATTCAGGTCCTTTGACTCCAGCCCTGCTGAGGTGTGGCCCTTTTGTCTGTGGTCCTGGGCCCTTCAATCCCAAATCTCCTAGGGCACAGCCCTTCTCTATGAGGTGTTGGGATCCTCAATCCCAGAATCCCCTGGAGCAAGGCCCTTCTCTATGGGCTGCTCTGCCCCCCAGCCCCTCACTGACCACAGCATCTCCTACCACATTTCTCAATCTCTCTGCCCTCCTCTGCAACCCTCCCCCCAACCTGGCAAATCCCAACGAGAACCTCCTGATATAAGAGTGCCTGCTGTACCACATCAAGGATGGCATGACTAGTTACCAGGAGTGGGGCATGATGGGGTACTATGGGTGGGGGTGTCCACTGCCCTGGGTCTGACTGGGGCCAGCAACAGATGCTGCACTTCCCACAGACAGGAAAAATAGGGGTAGGATGGGGAGATCTGCCCCCACTGCAGCAGCTGCAGCATTGTCTGCCTGAGTCTGAAGAGGGCCTGAGACCGTTCTGGGAGAAGGGAAGTGCCTCAGGCATCTCCATGGGGTTTGAACTCCCAGCACCACTGCTCTGGAGCACTCCACCAACCCCATCCCAGCAGGGGGCTCTCTGTGCAGGGGAGGGGAAGAGCACAGCAGTCCCGACCCCCTCACCCAAGCAGACACACCCTGTCTGGGGAGGTTAGCACTGGGGGGACTCTGACTGCACTCTGCCTGTCTGTGGGCACCTACCTGTTCCCAAGGGGATGGGCGAGAGTCACCTGCTCCTCTTCTGGGACATACCAGGGGTCCCATGCCATTGTCCCAGCCTCTCTTTGAAGCCCCCCACACTCCATGCATGGCCCTGGAGTGTCTGAATCCAGCCCTGAGAGTCAGAAAAGATTTATGGAACTAAATGTGCCTCTTTCCATAGGCTCCGGGGAACAGCCCAGTTCAGAGCTGTGACTCTTGGAGGGACCAGCGCCAGCTGCTGAAGATAGAGGGACAGGGACCCCCATCCCAGTGGACAATTCTGCATTTCAGGGAGGTTCCCTGTGAGTTAATGGCTGGCTGGAGACTGCACCATGGCAGTTTAATTCATTCTCTGATCTAATGTAACCATGAAGGCTCTCGTGATCTATGCCAATGTCTCACCCGCTGACCATTTAATCTCAGCAATACCTTGTGGAAGTGAGTTCCCCAGGTTAGCTGTGTGCTGGTTGGCAAACCCTTGAAATACTGTTCAGAAAAAGGGCTTGGCCAGGAAGAGAAAGGAGGAGATCGGGGAAGGAAGGAAATGGTGGCCATGGCTTGCCAATGGAGAGAAGGAGGAGAGAATGGGCAGGTGTTGGGAGCCAGGGATCGGTGGCTGTTTCCTGGGGTTGGGGCCATGTCAGAGGAGTCGGGCTGAGCAGAGGAGAGAACTGGTGGACAGAAGAGGAGACTGGTGGGCAGAGGGGTTAAGCAGGGATCTCTGAGGAAGCTGAGTCAGGAACTCTGGGTGAGGAATTGACTCTCGGCCATGGGAGGGGGAATCTCAAAGAACAGGGGCTGAGAGGGTCTGTGAAGTGAGGGTTGTGAGAGGGGTGGGAGAAGATTAAGGGCTGTGGGTGTTTGCTTGGGGGTCTGGGTTAGGTGAGGGAGAGGGAGGGAAACACTCAGGGTCTAAGGTAAGATGGGTTCAGTAGGTGAATCATGGATCATCTCTAAATAAATGTTTCTTTATAAACTTTTCATCCAGTCTCAATTATTATCCCCCAGATTTTCGTAAAAAGAGGCACAGAGAGTTGAGGTAACATAGCTGCATAGCTGGGCTTAGATCACAGGAGTTCTTAGTATCTTGATCTCCTTTCTGTAGATGCCTGACTGTCCTAGTTATCATTACAGGCTGGGATTCTCAATGGCATCTAAGGGCGTTAGGAGCCCAAGATGTACATGCCTTACTGCCATAGGCTCCTTTGCGAATCCCAGGCATCATTTTCTGAAATTCAGGAGAAGCCCAGGCCTTGGAAGTTAACGAGAGACACAGGGCCAGGATTACAAAGGAGTTTAGGTATCTAAAGAAGGAAATAGCTGTCTATTGGGATTTACAATAGCATCTAAGCAGGTTAAATTCCTCACTCCCACTGAATGACCATGGGACTTAGAAACCTAGCTCATTTGGGAGCATTGATCAATCCCTGTAGGTGCCTGTCTCCATCTTTGTGATCCTGGCCCACAGATGACACAGAAGCTGGGTTGCAATCAGGGAACGTAGGCCCGATACTATGTGAAGGTCATACTAGAGGATCTGAATGGTTCTTTTGGCTTTATCATCTAGACATCTATGCACGTGCCTCTGGGCCTCTGCTGCTGAGCTGTGCAGGGCTCCAGGGAGTGAGTCCCGCTAGCCCTTATTAAATAGACATAAATAAATCACCTTCCCGCAGTATTAGTCCTTTAATGCCAGTGATGCTCAACGCCAGCTACACACAGCACATCTGCAGAGAGCAACAGGTTTGAGTCTAGTTCTGGCAGTGCACTCTCAGAATGAAGGGGGAAAGGATTGTCAGATGCCTGTGCCTTTAGCTTCTAGATTCTGGTACATCGATAGATATTGACCAAAGAATCCTGGTGCTGGATGACTGAATGGATCATAAATTGGGGAAAAATCCACAAAGATCAGTACAGTAAGTTTCTATTTCAATTAAATATGTTTGGGGATCAACATACAGGGGAAAATTAAGATGATAAATATGAATTACAATCTGAACTTGTTAAGACTTTTACTCTCAATTTAATCGGATAGCTACTGCTGATTGGAATTTTTCCACCCTTCAGGAAAATTTTGACTTTTCACTGAAAACTCCAAATCCATTTTCTCCCCCAGTTTTTGGCAAATGAAAACTTTTTGCTGAAAACTGGATTTTTTTAATCACAAAACCAAAAATGTTTGTTTTTTGAGTTTTCAATTTCTTTACAAACCAATCACAAAATGTTTGGAGAAAAGCAGACAGAGTCTGAGATTTGTTGTTGTTTAGCTGAAAACCCACTCGCCATTAAAATGAACACAGCTGAAAATTTCCAACCAGCCTTAAACTTCAAATAAATTGGGGAACATTAATATTGCCTGATAAGACCTTAATTTCAAACCATTTATCCTATTGCATCTGTGTGATTTCTCTTCCAAAGGGTTAGTTGTGAGGAGGTAACAACTGAATAACCAGTTAAGTTGACAGCACACAGATTATGTTTTATATAGACTAGCCCCTTTAAACCCTGGGTTAGAGTTGAACCAAGCAACCAAACCCTGTCTATCCTGACACCATTCAAGGACATACAGGAGATCACTGGGAGTAGAACTCAGAGCTCCTTTCCTAGCTCCACACTGCTGGTGGCTGAGTATAAACGGTGTAAATGGGTTTGCAGAATTTACAGAGAACAAGACATGGCGGCCATGTTTCCAAAGGTATTTCAGCACCGATTTGGATTTTCAAAAGCACCTAGGAGCTTATAACTCGTTGATTTCAGGGGGTGTTGAGGTCCCTGATGCTTTTGAGAATCCCACTAGGTGTATCAATACCTTTAAAAATCTGCCCCACAACCCCGCTCCGAAAGCCTTTACAGTCCTAGTAGACATGGCATAGAAAGGAGGAGGAGGAAACAGAGGCAGAAAGAGGGGAAATGACTGGCCTAAGGTCACACAGCAGGTCACTGGCAGAGACAAGAGTAGAGCCCAAGTGTCCTGACAACCCCTGCACTGCACAGTGCAGAGTAATTGATACAACATAGCAATGATGGAGGGATGCTGCTAGTCCATTGGAGGCCGAAGTGTAGCTTGGAGTTGGTGCCATAAATCAATTTGGAAGCAGGCAACTGCCATCTAGTCACAGAGCTTGGAGGAGAAAAATCAGAGATGAGCTGCTACTTACGATGCTGGTTGAGTCTACATGGGAATCAGGCTGTGCTGGGATTTTAGTCTATCCGTTTCATAGCCAAGATGTGAGCTTGGTGATGGATGCAACAGAGGGACTTCCTTTGGAAGAATTGTTGGGTTTGGATTGTACTTTTTTCCATCCTTCATACTGCATTTTAACAGTTCACATCTTGGGCCAAATCCTCATATAGGGTAAAATAACAAAGCTCCATTGACTTTAAATGAGCCAACCCAGTTTACACTAGTGTGATAACGTGACTGATTGATTGTCAGAGGTGAGGAGCTCTAACAACACGTGGTCATTGCAAGTGATGAGTGTTGTGCGCCTTTGACATTTATATAATAAGATATTAGAGAAAATGGAATCAGGGCCATTCCCACTGTCGCTCTAATCCTGACCATTGTCTTTCTCATTCCCCCTACAGCCATCACAGAATGGACTGAGGAAGAAAATGTCCAACCAAACTACCATGACAGAATTCCTTCTCCTGGGATTCTCTGATGTTCCAGAACTGCAGATTTTACACTTTGTGGTGTTTCTAGTGCTTTACCTGGCATCCCTGCTGGGGAACCTTCTCATCATCACAGCCATAGCCCTTAACTACCAACTTCACACCCCCATGTACTTCTTCCTGATGAATCTGTCCATCCTAGACCTCGGCTCCATCTCTGTCACCATCCCCAAATCCATGGCCAACTCCCTCATGAACACAAGAGTTATTTCTTATTCTGGATGTGTCGCCCAAGTCTTTCTTGTCTTCTTCTTCGCTTCAGCAGATTTTGCCATACTGACCATCATGGCGTACGACCGATATGTCGCCATCTGCCAACCACTGCACTATGAGACAGTGATGAACAGGAGAGCTTGTGTCCAAATGGCAGCCAGTGCCTGGATCAGTGTTATTCTCTACTCTGCAGTGCACACTGGAAACACATTTGCAATATCCTTCTGTGGAGGCAACATGGTGGATCAGTTCTTCTGTGAAGTCCCCCAGCTACTCAAGCTCGCCTGCTCTGACTCAGACCTCAGTGAAGTCGGGTTTCTCATCTTTAGTGTGTGCTTAGCCTCAAGCTGCTTTGTTTTCATAATTGTGTCATATGTTCAGATCTTCACCACAGTGGTGAGAATCCCCTCTGAGCAGGGCCGGCATAAAGCCTTCTCCACCTGCCTCCCTCACCTCATTGTGGTCTCATTGTTTATTTGCACTGGGATCTTTGCCTACTTGAAACCGACCTCCAGCTCAACCTCAGGTCTGGATCTAGTGGTGGCTGTTCTCTATTCTGTGTTGCCACCAATGATGAATCCGATCATCTACAGCATGAGAAACAAGGAGCTCAAAGGTGCACTGAGTAAATTGATAGGTTGGAGGTTATTCTCTAAGAATAAAATGTCCATATTTCTCCTTCAGTAACAATTTCATTCTGTGTTTCTTTACATAATCAGCTGATGACATTATTGCCTGCATGAGAAAATGCTGTGCATCTGTTTATGCAGAATTGGGATTTACAATAGTAAAACTCCAGTCAAACATGACTCAAGAAAAAAGAAGTTATTATAGGTTTACACCAATGCAAATAAGATCAGAATCTATCTATCATATACTGCTACCCAGCACCATACTCTCTGAGCACCTTGCCCATAGAATCAGTAGCCATAGCAAAGCCCCGAGTGATGTCTCTGGCTCTTCTTATTTTTGGGGATATCCATGCATTTGTTGTTTGTATTTCTTGTTTACTTGTTTGTCAGTTATTTTTATTTTCTTTTTTTTTTGCTTAACTGGTTGGCTTGTGGTTTGGTTTGTTTCTTTGGAGGTGGGAAAGCCTGGGGAGATGGTGAGTGTTTGGTTAGACAGGATTTTCGATGTTTGTCCTCTCTTGGAAGTGCCAATATGTCCTCTCTTTGATGCGGTTTTCTGAGTGAGCTGAAGGCTTGCTCCCCACAATGACAACCTCGTTTACTCATAATGATAGATTTCTATTTGATTGTGAATTATGTTAGCTAGCTTGATGATGAATAATCTATGGAAATTATTGTGCAATTTATTGTGCTTCTTTTCCTGTTAATGATTGTCTATGTCCAGATCATGATTTTCTTATAAATACTCCTTATTAAACATTATTTAACAATGATTTTTATGGCTATATCTTACTCTATCTGTCATTTAGAAACAGTTCATCGTAAAATACTTGGTGTTTGAACTTTGAGCTGTTATGACAGGATACATTTTTAACATGCTCTCGTTTGCTTCTCTGAACAAATGGAAGTATCACACTCGGGATCCTTAAAAATCAAGGAGCCAGTCCTCAGCTGGTGTAAATTGTCGTAGCGTCGTTGAGGTCAATAGATCTCTGAGAATTTTCACCAGCTGAGGATCTGCTCCAAACACTCATGATTATGAATTTAAAACTCACTCCCTTTGAATACTCTGTACAAAGGCCCTGATTCCACAGCCACTTCAGTACAGTCTTTACTTTAATCGCATGAGTGGCCCCATTGAAGGTTTAAAGGTAAACTCATGCTTAAGTCCCTTTGGATATGGGTTAGGTTTATGCATAGGGCTTAAGGCTAACAACAAACTGGTGTCAGACCCTGACACTGTCTCCATTTCTCTCCTTTCCCAGTCAAATAAAGCCTTACAATTGGTGCATGGGAATTATTCTCTCCTTCTTGGGTCTGAATTATTAACATAAAATACATTTTTTATCTCAAAGCCTGAATCTCTGGGCCTTCTTCTCCAGACTTACCAGTCCTTTACGACTCTTCATCATCAACCTCTCCCTCCTGGAAATCCTGCTCACCAGCATGCTCATCACCAAGATGTTGACCAACATGGTGTGCAACTGGAAGACCAGTTTCTTCCCTAGCTTCCATGCAAGTGCCATTGCGTGAACTGATCAAAACCCCATCCCATTTGCCTAAATGTCACTGTTTCCATAAACGACCCTGTCCGCATGGCTGGAATGTTCACACAGGGGCCATCAAGTCAGCTGAATCACATTCCCTGGAAAAGCAATGTAATTATTCACACAAAAAGATTTAGCTGTATTCATTCTGTTTTTCCAGTGACACAGAGTAGGAGCTCATCTCAGCTTCTGGCAGAGATATATCACAGGGTAGCTCACAAGTAGAGCTGGATGGAAAATTTATGATGAAACAGAGCTTTGTCCAAAAATGCTGATTCATAGAACCCAAAATGATTCACAGAAACATCTCAGGTTTGATGGACTTTCAGGGAAGCAAGGTCAGATTGGCAATGGACTGCCTGCCTGCCAAGCTGAGCTGCTAAGGAGCAGTAAGTTTGAAGACCCTGGTATGGGCTCCGAGGGACCGTGGCTCGAGGGTAATCTCAGCATGCAGACAGCCCTGGCCCAGGAACACCAGGGCTTCCAGACTTCCAGGGCAGCTGGCTTCCTAAAATGGCCACTGAACCACACAGTCTGGGCAACCAGCTGGCCTGGGAACCTGGAATCAGCTGTTGAGTGAAACTCACATTCTGCTCCTATTAGCAGCCATGAAACTGACAATAATGTCAGTTTTACTCAGTAGATGCCGGGGTCCTGTGGAGGAAATTTTGTTTCTAAAGCCCCCCCCACCCCCGAGTTTTCAGTTAGAGTGAAATTTTGAAATAGTAACATTTCCCAAAAAGTGGAAATCCCATGTTTTGGCCAGCTCTGCTTTCAAGCTTTTTTTGTTGTTATGGCATCATTGGAAAACATCAAGGTACAGTGTCCCTCCTCTCATCCTAATGTAGACACCAGGTCAACAGTAATCTACTGAGACCCCTGAACAAACCAATGGTGCTTCATTGACAGTGGAATTGTCTTCTGAAGCTGCCAACCAAGTCTGTTAACCTTCAGGATGGGCTGCTGGCCTACCTATTCTCCCAGTCTTTCCTTGAGGGCTTGGCTGGGTTGATGGGAAAATTATATGGAAGTTTCATTGGTTGAGGAGGGAGAATGTTAAAGTCAATGAATGGGGTATGATCCCCTGGTCAATGAAAAGGGAAGAAGTCTAATTTGGTTAAGTCGAATTGTATGGATTGTGAATAGGGAATAAGGAGGAGGGAAAGTCTATGATTGTTGTCAAGTGCAGATGACTCTGGGTGGTGAAGAGCAAAGAGGTCTATGGCTGGTTCTCCTGCAGAATGTTTTGGTGGGTGCATGGAGGATAATGGAGGATAATGTTATTATTAGTAGAGAGCAGACGAGTCTATGGGTGGTGCATGACAGATTTTATGCTGAAGGAAGTAGAATGTTTCCTAGGATGAATGGGTGAGGATTTGGAGGACCAAGTCAGTGTATTTTGCATATATTCTTACAATACTGGGCAGAGGTCTAGCGTTTGGGCTTTATTACCAGTCCAAATGAAGAAATAATACAAATATTGCTGTCACTTGATTTTACGGCATTTCACATCTGAGAATTTGCAAGGAGTCTCCAGACTTGGAGCTGTGGGTCTCGCGAGGAACAGCACAAATTCAACTCTTATGTAAACTGGCAGGGCAATGTTAACTACATTAATGTTGTGCCCTCTGACACCAGGGCTGGATTTGGCTCACTGAGTGTTACAGCACCAGTAATACCCCATTTCAGTATAAGGGTGAATCGTTCTGCCTCTCTTGCTGGCTTCTTTCAATAATTAGGATTCTGAGACCTGGGCTGTCAGTGACTTTAGACACCACACTGATGAATGGAGGAGAGAGAGAGATCATCCTTGATACGGGCTTCCATAGAGAAATGATCCAGTGCCCCGTCCATGTTGTCAGTGTTAGGGGTATTCTGATGTGAGGCTCCCACAGTCACTCCATTTGAAGCTGTTCCACTCTGGATAAATAATGGTTAGTTCTTTCTGATTTCTCTATGGTGGCCTGTATGAAATTCACTGGAGATCTTTGTCCAGTTCCCAGAGGATGACTCCCCATCACCCTAATATCAACATTACTGGCAATAATTTGCACCCTTCTGGTCAATCACTAAGGAAGCATGCAGGGATATGGAGAAGGGAATATCCTTTTATGTACAGAAAGGGTCCTTCCAGGGCAGGGTAGAGGTTTATTTCCAGAGACTGTTGAGTGGGGAAAGATTGCAGAGCTGCCACTTGGGCTTCTGTGTGCTCTGTTTTGTTTTATGACTGGAGGAGTGTTAATGGGACACTTCATCTGGAATAGTCTCTTGGAATATGTGTCAACCACTTATGCTAAACTATCTTTTCTACCTTATATCTCGCTGTGACTCTTTTGTCGACAAAAGGCAGCTTCTGTTGACAAAACAGTGGCGGTGTACACACTGCAATGTTCCACCTGCCGATTTAATAGGATTACCATATTTGCACAATCGAAAAAGAGGACATGGGGGGAGGAGCCCCGCTCTAGCCCCGCCCTGCCTGCCCCGCCCCCATCCACTCCCTCCCACTTCCCACCCCCTCACTGCCCCCCTCAGAATCCCCAACCCCCCCCTGCTCCTTGTCCCCTTACTGCCCCCTAGCATCCCAACCCCTATCTAATCCTCCCTGCTTCTTGTCCCCTTACTGCCCCCTCCTGAGAACCCCCCACCCTAACTGCCCCACTAGGACCCTA